TCATTATTTACTTTTTTTTATACATTTTATTTTTTCCATTTTTCTCTGTAAGGACATCCCTGCCCTGGTCAAGTAAAAAAGGCAGGGACCGCAAAGCGAGCTGGGTACTACATTAAGCAAGTAGGAAGTCTTAGGTCTCAACATCACCTTGCCACTATACAAAACTAGAAAGTATTCCTTGCAGGATAAGGCTCCAAGCTCACACACTTGCCTCACAGAGGTAAGAGTTACAAGACAAAAATGCACCTTGCTTTTAGGTAAGAAAAGAGCCAGCACTGTCTCTAATGGGTTTAAAAGGCCATTTTTTAAGTGCAGAGAGAATCAAATTCACAGAGTCAAAGGGGAATTAATAGACGGGGCTACATGGGAGACTACCTGTACAAAGGTTCTAATCAAGCAGTGAGATGCCAACAGTCTCTGAAAACAAGATAGAGAGAGCAGAAACCGATGTTGGTTAGTGGTAAGAGAGAAACGTTAGTCTATTCCCATTGATTTTACCACCCATTATCACAATTTTTTTGGTTTTTTGAAACATTATTTGCAGATTTTCATTCTTTTATTTTTTTAAATATTTTTATTGTCTTCTTGCAAGGCCATCCCTTTTCAAGTTTGCTTGACCAGGCTAAGCTGTAAACTAAAATGCGTATAAGCATTCGTTAATGGACTACTGGGTGTCAAGCAGGTACCACTGGCTGGATGTGGTCCAATATGCACATGAGTTGACTTTTCTTAAAATAAATCAGGCCTGGATCACAGAAGACTACCAAACACTCACTGCAGATATTGCTGATAAAATCAATACATTTATTTTATATACATTTAAACAAGAAAATACATTATTCTTGGGTATAAGGGGATATAGGAATCGGTTGTGTTACACCTGCAGTGAGGGGGTGCAGTTTTTAGGGTGCACTGTGTATTTATATTTTTTTTCAAAGGATACAGTTTGGTTCTATGAAAAAAGGCAGCTCTTGAATGGACTGTCAGTAACCACTGCCTGGTGAACTCCAATCACCCCAAGCTAAAAGTTATAATCTAAACCAAAGGGAATATACACCAGTTAAAAGAAGATGGTGACTAAGGTGTTGAAAATTGAAAAGCTAGCTATTAATCAGTTGTTGAGGACTGATATTGGTCCTTAAAATGAATTTTGGGTGTACAGATCTGTACACACAGGAAGGGCACATATTAACCACCTTCCATCCATGGCCGTTTGTGAACGGCCAGATGGACATCTGCTAGGAGCGAGAGGGCGTCTTAAGACGTCCTGCCCCTCCCCCCTCTCGTATGCGGCACTCAGCGCGCACACGAGAGGGAAAACTGTGAGCATGTAAACAGCCAGCGATGGCTGTTTACATACAAGCGATCAAGCGTCTCTAGAGACGCCCGATCGCTTGCAGGAGCTGCGGGTGTGCGGCCTCCCCAACCCCCCGTACCTCTGTCCTGCAGAACACCGTAGAGAAGCTGATGAAGCAGATCTCTGCGGTCTTCAAGTGGTTAAAATGTACCTCAGTACTGTTATTCAAAGAACTCAAGCATAGTTTGTTAAACCCAACTGCTAAAATATAGGGAAAGGGACTCTTGTTGTCTGATGGCAAGTCAAATTCAGATGCTTACACTGCCTGCATAAAAAACACTGTTATAAATTAATTAATAAACTACATTATTTGTATCTTTAATAACTTTCTACAGTTCAGTTTTAATCTTAATTACAATATTTGTAACCCATTACAGCCAGATTCAGCATGCTTCTCTCTTGTACTCTTGGGCTGGACTGCAGGTTCTTGTTACATTCATTCTGCACTGCTGTGAAACGTATCTGCCTGAGAGGCTTCAAAGGGTATACACAGTCCACAGTTGAGAACACATGCCCTGAACATTTGCCAGCACATGAACTAGTGCTCTCTTAAAACTTCATTTCCAGCAATAATGCAGTTTTAAGCAATTTTTTTCCAAAAGAGACAGGTACTTTGGCATCACTATCTTCTTGTTTGTCTGACTGTTAAACAGATTCATTTTGCTTTATATGACTTCACAAATATGAAGCACTAATGCAGGTAAGGGCTTTTGACTTCACTCTGAATATCTCTTTTCAGGGCAGTGACCTGGAATGTATTGAAGCCAGTGGGGGTGATTTACTAACCTAAACACACGCACGCACCAGGTGCGTGTGATTTTCACACAGCAAAGCGTATTTATCAGCCAAAAAGTCTCTAAAAGCATATTTCCACTAATGCCATATATGGAAAAATCTTGCACCTGATGCATATATAATGCTGCTTCACAGTTTAGACAAAAATGGTTAGCTCATGCATTTACATTCCTGCATTCATCAACGCAAGCAACACAACATAGAGCTAATTTACACAACATCACCTTGCAATTCATGCAAAGCTTTGCACAACACACCTGCTGGGTGTGTACACACTACAAAGGTGTTTAGATTCCACCCATAGATCATGCTGGGAGTGAACACACTACAGAGGTGTATACATGTTCGTGGTGTGTTTATAAGGTTAGTAAATCAACCCCAGTGAGTCAGCATAATAGCCAGGCGACCTATATATTTTGAAGGTGGTCGGCAATGGCAGCTTACAGACTTCTCTGTATATGTTAATGTATGGAACAGTCTAAAGCACCACCATTGTTCATCCTCAAAAAAAAATCAAATCTTTTTCACAAGATACCAATATAGACAGTATATGTTTTGTACCAGACTATATGTTTTGATATGGGTAAGCAACTATTTACTGGTTGATTGAAAATAATATTCTGCTGAGACATTTAGGGGGTGATCTACAAATCATCTACACAGCCATATGCTGGCTGAATGCCGCTCACGGGGCAATATTCACTGCTGGATGGAGCCAAGGAGCATAGAAATTGTGTCTGCTCCTTGGCTTCATCTAGTGGTGAGAATGCCATGTGAATGGCATTCAGCCAGCATATGGCTGGGTCAATGATGTATAATGACCCCCTTAATGCTTTACGTAAAGAGTGCCATGGGTGCCTAGATTTCAGTGTTGCATACCTTCAATTAAACAGGTATCAAAAGCATACTGCACATGGCAAAGGACAGTGCTGTACAGTTATTTAAAAAAACTGTCACTGAGACTACTGATAGCTGTGTACTGGTAGCTTAGTGTATGCTATGAGCCACAATGGTTGTTTTTATTAAACAGTGCTCCATACGACATATAATTCATGATGAATTAATTTCAGCCCTCTTAGACATGCCAGCTCGTCTGGCACTAGCCAGAGCTGACACATTGCTGCTGTAGACTTGGGAAATAAGCATATTGAGGTTGATTTGCTAAAGGAAAATACCTTGTTTACTTATCAAAGTTAATGTTCACAGAACTTAGTGAATAAGTTAAAATTGTTCATCTATGTCAACCAATCATGTGCTTAAAGACATGTTTTTTTTTATTTTACTCATTCATGATTGGGTACTCAAAGTGAACACAGGTTTTCCATATTCACTATTATTCACACGAAATGCACTTTTCAATTTTCAAAATAAACATTCCCTTTGCTAATGAGTCAGCAGCCTCTACTGCTTTAGCAAATCAAACCTACGGTGTTATATATAAAGTGCAGGTATTGGGGATAAACCAATAGCGGCTATATTTTATGAAGTTGTTAAAAACTATATTTTGAATAAAAGCAGAATGACACATTTCAAATGCAAAACCATCTGAATTTGCAGTGATGATAAAATCTCTTTATTATCTGCATATTTCATAAGTTACATTCATTTTTGAAAAAATATCATAATTTCCCGGTATCCACTTTATATATAAGTAATGCTGTCATCAGCAAAGATATACACAATTTAATTTCTGAATATTTATGCTGTAGATAAAATTTTACATTAAACAAATCTCATCCTACTATCTCCCTTTAGGCATGTCTTAACCATTTGAGAACCACAACGTTACTCACATACAGCATAGCATTGAAATGACAGATACATTCAGCCATTTTATTTGATTAAAATTATAAAACTCTTTAAAAAAAATAAAGGTTAAATACAATTCATGAAAAGGTGCATTACAGATATGGGCCAGGGTCCGTTATAGATTTTCTAAAATAGACATATTTTTTATGTATTTGAAATGTGTGAATTATTCTGAAGTCAAAATCCAATCTGGTCGTCTTATAAATGAATAAAGCTTACAAAACAAAAAGGAATGCCTTAGTATTTGGGCTGAATCCCTGAAGTTAAAAGGGGTCTGTCACAAAGCAAGACAACTGACTAAAAAGTGTCTGTGATTTCCAGGTCACCGGACGCAAGTTCCTCAGCAGTACCTGAACCTTCTAGTGATATCGCTGCTTTGGTATTCGTATTTGATTTGTGAGTCAGGGAACATCATCTTCCATTAGAAGCTTCTGAAAAAAACGTTTTTTCTTTGTGACAAATTCACTTTAATGGCTCAAACCAAGAGAAACTGAGCTTTCAGTTTTGGGAAGTACAATGATTGGATCAACCAGCAATTTGTAAATCTCAGCTACTCTGATTCTTCCCTTAAGCTCCAAGTCTGCATACTTTTCATAGCAGGCACGTGTGTATTTTATCTTTATTAGATAATCCATGAATCAATCTGTTACAGACATACCAGCAGAGTAAGACTCCCTTTCTTGGCTGCATAATAGATTCACTGATGTGTGCAGTGAATATTCTAACATGGAACTTTTACCATTGGTGTCTTCCAGAACTAGGTGATTCCATCTACTGGTGTACACCCAAAAGCAAAATATTGATTTTAGGTGGGCTTTTAGGACTGATTAGAAACGTTAAAAAAAGTGTTATCAATAGCAACCAGTTAAAATTTAGATGAACCAGGATTAGCCACCATGGTCATCACAGAACACCTTTTTTTCTCCTCCAGCTTTAATAAACGTCATCCAATGTTCATTGGGTCTTCAAATGGCTACAGTGAGTCTTTCTGGATGTTTAAACTGTTAGCTGTGCTCAAGGATTCCTGTCAAAACCTATATCAGTTTTTGTACTGAAATATTTTATCCTACAATGCGCAACACTTTTATGTTTCTCATGTTTGTCTTTTAAATGCGTTTATTGAAATAACGGTTTAAAAGCATATGAAATAACAGGTTTTCCATGAATTCTTGCATATCTATTTACAGCTCTAAATAGAGATCTCTAAGGTAATATTTACAGTGTAAACATCAACTTTTTTATTATAAGAAACATATTTGCCACGATTTTCACCTCACAACATATTTGTTTTGGTTTGAATACAGAAGTAATCTTCTTGAAATACTATGTGAAACTCAAAAATATAGTAAACTTGTTCTTCTGATTAAACAACCGAATGGTCTTCCTCAAAGGTTCTGCAAAACATAAACAATTATTATTTTACTGGAGTTGTACTTTCATTAAAATTGCAGATATTTCATATTTAGACTCCAGTTGACCTGGTATCTTATGTGTTTTGTAAGAATATAGATTTTTGTTTGTGTTATACTGTGTTATAGTGTTTTGATGACATTTTGAACTATTGGATATTAGTTGGCCAGCGCTGTGACTATATTTACACCTTTGCTTGCTCCTCCACCCAGTGTATATTGTCCTACTAATCTATTTTGAATAGTTTATTCTACCTGTCTGTTTTACAGAAACCAACAATAAGGAGATAAGTTGCCCTTAGGAAAACCTTATGAGATTTGTTTGAATTTTACCAGTTCAAGTACTCATTCATGTAGTGCAGGTCTTATAGATGGGAAATATATTTCCAATAAGAGCAATGTAGGACTGATCTACACATACAGACCACCTCTAGTCGTGGTTGACCGCTCTTGCAATACAAATTGAGATATACGCCTACTTTTGACCTTCGACATTCCACATTCTTCCTTTTGACGAGTCGAAATGTCCCCTTCAACCACGCTGCATCCGGCCACATACATCCCCTTGGGAATTTGCTTACGATCACACCCCCTCTTCTCTTTTCTTTATTCTTTATCCTTACGTACTCTCCCACACACCTACCTCTCTTCTTTTCTGCACTTTTCCCTCTTCTTCTGTCTACATTGGTTCAGGTTTTCTCCAGGAGTTAATACTGCTTTATATGACATGGTTTATTCATGCTTGAGTTCGGGGGTTGTTATCATCCTTGATTCTATAATATTGATGGTCTCTGTAATAACTAATGATGACCGCTCCTTCATGTATTACGACATGTATGCAGATGCTATTTCATGTATGTACACTGGACTATTTTTGGTTATGAAAAATTTAATAAAGATCTATATGCTTAAAAAAAAAAAGAGCAATGTAGGAAAAAGTGGAGCACAACTGAATAAGGCTACCTGAATAACGCAATGCAAAGTGAACACTGATGAAAATGCCGATCCACACATTTGAAATGCATATCCAAATGCTAGATTTATTTTAAAGGCAATCAGCTTTAAATCAACAATATTTACAATCACTAATATACCAATGGCAGGTGGTTCAACAGGTCGTCCATTGTGGCATCATCATAGTTCTCTGGGAATGTTGATTGGCTTAGATCACTTTCTTCTCGAAGATTTGCAGGGTTAATGTCTTCTTGACTATAAAACATGAAATATAAATTATTAGATTATATTTATCCCAAACACTGTTCACTGCATACCTTGCATATTTAAAACAACCAAACAGTATTTGATTCAAATAGGCGATAGAAAAGTCCACATTTTTAAGTATGGGCCAGCTTCACATTAGAACTGCTTCCCTTCAAAACAAGTCTATGTTAATGCAAAACGAATTTGAAGGAGGTTAGAAGGAGGTAAACTGCTGCACACAGCTAAAATCCCATTGATACACGTTCTAAAAAAATTAAAAAAACTAAAAAAATTAGATATTCCTATCTTGTTGATGAGTCTGTTTTGCTAACACCTTGGAGATAATTTACTAAAGAAATAGAACATGTTCATTTTGCAAATGTGGTGAAAATTCACTTTGCAAGGAAATTTGCAAAAACAGTATTTTTGCTTGCACGAGATTGGATAATACAAGTTAAGCAGAGCTTCACCTCATTCACTTAGCTAAGGGGAAATTCCCTTTGCTAAGCGAACAACCTATTTGCCCGTAGTAAATCAACTACCTTGTGTGTAGTCTACGGTGCTATGGTTGATGCTGTTAGTTTTGTCAAACTTGTATTTACTGTTCTTAAATACCATGTACCGCATAGATATATAAAGCACTAGGTGTTGGTGCATTACACTATATTAAATTATTTCAAATGAATTTATTATTTTAATACATATTAACTTTTTCATGGAAAGGTTTAATTCACAAACTTAAATGTTGATTGATATGGAATTATGTTTGGTTGTTTAACTATTTTTCTCATGGATCTGTATTTAAGGCATAAAGTATTATTTTATGCCCATTAATAATGGTAATTTTTCTGCTCACTTCAGTAGACTTTTAGAATCTCAGTTAACATAAGCCAGAACAAATATGCAGATAAGAAGGTCTGACTTTGGTTTGTCTTTCCTAAACTGCATTTTTGTTTTGGGTCTGTCATTTAGAAAGTATTGAAACCAGTGGGTCAACCTAATAGCCAGGCAACATTTTAAGATGGTAATTAGAAATTTAAGACCCTGCATTTTTCTCATACGAGGTTTATCCAAAGCAGACACAGTAGTGCCCATAAGTAGAAGGTTTTTATGAAAAAGAATATATGAATAACTTAGATTCACTGTCTGCCAGGTTAGTGATCCTTACAATCCAAGTAGAGATACCAAGGTAGTGGGCTTAGGTAAGGGTATGCTGCCAAGAAGTGTAGACCACTCAATGGGTAGCTCATCATTCGTGGCTACTCTTAAGTCAAAACTCAGACATCTTGGGGTTGATTTACTAACCTTATAAACACACCACGAACATGTATACACCTCTGTAGAGTGTTCCCTCCCAGCATGATCTATGGGTGGAATCTAAACACCTTTGTAGTGTGTACACACCCAGCAGGTGTGTTGTGCAAAGCTTTGCATGAATTGCAAGGTGATGTTGTGTAAATTAGCTCTATGTTGTGTTGCTTGCGTTGATGAATGCAGGAATGTAAATGCATGAGCTAACCATTTTTGTCTAAACTGTGAAGCAGCATTATATATGCATCATGTGCATGATTTTTCCATATATGGCATTAGTGGAAATATGCTTTTAGAGACTTTTTGGTTGATAAATACGTTTTGCTGTGTGAAAATCACATGCACCTGGTGCGTGCGTGTGTTTAGGTTAGTAAATCACCCCCCTTGTGTCAATTCCCCTTTTGTTCTCTATCTATTCTTTAGGAAAACAAATCATAAACAAATTGAAGATTCTTTAAAAAAATCTGTGAAATTCAGACATGAAGAGTAATGATATCTCATGATAATAATGATATGCTATGCTCTATTAATGGTCTATTAATAGAAAGGAACACCATCTCAATGTACCAGAACACTATCTCATCTCTATTAGGTAAAGGAACTTTAAGGTCTACAACTGACCCACAAGGGTTGTGCCATCTAAACAATGTTATCCTGACAGCTGTATCTTTTCATTGGGAGAACAGTATATTCCCAATGTGATTAAAATTAAATTGTACTAAAATAAATAAAAAAGGCATTAAGAAATAGAATCAGAATTTAACTGTTACTAAAATACATCTCCATTGACAGTCTAGTTTGAGATGATTATAATCTAATTTCATCTAGGTAAGATAAAATAACTAGTAGTGGCTCCTTCTCATAACAATTACTGGGGACCATAGAGATATATTGAATGAAATCACCTTTTACCCAATTATATTCCAAGCTGGAAGACTGGCCAAACAGGAAAATGATAAGTAAGTTAGCCAACTTCTCCCTAAAGGGAGACTGTGACGGTGTTAGCCAGAAAGATATGCCCAATGTAGTTGAAGTTGAATATTTCATATGCAGGGTTTATTTATTTTCCAGACTGCTCAAACAATTGTCATAGCATGCATGGAAGAACATTAAAGATGAAATCATAGTATTAATTATTATATTAAATACATAGTATCATGTAGCTAAAGGTATGTACAAAAACCTTGAAAAAAATGCATCTGAAATGGATGTTCCAAAAAAAGGTTTCATATTAATAGATGCCGAATCTGTGATCTTTGGTTTATTCCATCAGATACAGTAATCATTTTACTGATCTGAAAAGAATCCAAATTAATCTCAGAAGGTAATGACAATCATGATTAAGTAGATGTATGTGTCCTTCTACAATTATCAGTGCTAGTGCTATTTTAATTAAGGTCCTTCTGTATCAATACCTTCTCTTGCCAGTAAGAACAGAGTTTAAGTACTTCTTTACTGCCATCTGCTTCCTAAAGCGGCTGTAGTTATCAGTAAAGACTGCATCTGAGTGACGTTTTACTGGAGCTGGATCTTCGACAACACTGTTGCTGGTTATTGGAAAAAGAAATACATTTAAAATAACAAATTAATTAAATGTTACAGTTTTTAAAGTTGCAGAACAATCACTAATTAAGTAAATGTACCCATAGACATTATAATGGAACTCCGAGAAAAAAAAAACATTTTTGCCCACAAGTCAAACAAGTTATCTCTGATGATGATTATGCTGTGTATGGATCTGTGCTCTTCTTCCAGCGCTGCGCTTAAGGGCTGCAAGTGTACAGTGCAGGGATTCTTTTGAATCTCCTGCCCTTTCCTCTATCCTCATCTCTCCCCTTGTTAATTCACAAAACACCTTTTTTATGTTTAAAGAATGCAAGGCATTTTGTGAATAAACAGGGTGAGATCATGTTGTTTAGCTGTCCCTCCTCTTCCCTTGTCCATTCACAGAGTGCTGAAACTAGTTTCCAGCATCAATGGTATTCTGTTTTAAGTGAATGCTAAAAAAATAGTGATTTTTTTTGCATTGATTTGATTTTCAATGTTATGCTATTAACTTGTTTCTATATCTCTACATATCTCTGGCCTCTACGTTCCAAAAACCTTTGGTATTGCTCAGCCACATAAGTGGGGAGGTTTTCTTAGTCATTTGTGTAACTACCTTCTCTCATCCTATAACCATGGTGCTATTTGCTCAAATATGGATTCCCCAATTGCTTTATTTAGTGCACATTGTGAATAATCTATCAACAGATCATTACACCATAATTTGGCTTTGTAATGTCTTTAGTTATAAATTTAGTCAGTAGGACACTGACAAACAAATAACGTTAAACCAGCCCCTGTATAACCCTGCCTCCAACCATCACACCTGAGTTTTGTGACAAAGCAATAAATAAAGCCAATATAAGGCTAGCAAAATTATAGTTAGAATTTATTTCAGTATGACAGTTTGAGGTGGGGGTTATACAGTACAAGAGCTTAATATTTTTTGTTTGCCAATGTCCCAACCTCCTGAAGGTGACAGTATAACCAAAATGTCTAAGAATTATTAAATCCTGTTAAGTAATTCTTATTTTTAATGGACAATAAAGAATATTATATTTCTATTTGTGTTTACGTAAGAAAGTTTAGAAATAAAATACATTGTTATAAAATGACTTATCTTACAGATGAACTCCAGGCAGATACACAAATAAATGCAACTCTGTATTCATTAGTACATCAGTACATGTATTTTCTAAATGCAAGTGGTGTAAGAACCTGAATTTGATCTAATATCTGAATAATGCAATCCTCTGTACAGTAGAGCTCAAACTCTGAGGAGGTGAAGCAGCGCAAAAAGGCATTTAGGTGTACTGCAGTGTTAATGTGCTTTCAATGTAATTCTAAAAGGTGGAGAGAGCAGAGTAACTGTTAGATGAGTTCATCAGTGTGCTGCTTCTCTTTTCACTATCTGCTGACAGGCAGGGGTGGAACAAGAGAAAAATTAATTCTCCTCTCCTGCCAGGCAGAGCTGTGCTCTTTTGCCAGATAAAACAGTTTCAGCATATATGTTTTTATCTGCGTATACAGCTATTTGCCTAGAGTTAAGCTTTAACCTTAATTATATATGTATCCTTCTGGAGACATATAATAATATTCTTCTGCAGTTAGAGGTCCTAGCTTAATATAGCACAAACTCAGCTTTCAATAAATTATTGGTGGATAGCACTAATATGTATTTTCTGTGAAATTTTTACTGGTGTGATAGGAGGAACAAAACTCTTCATTTGATTGGATTACAATTCAAATGAAGAGTGAATAAAGCTCCAAAATGATTTGTTCCTTATAATTTGTCTAATGAAAGTTTTCATAATATCGCATCAATATATTAAATCTAAATCTGCTTTTTAAAAAATAACAGGATAATTTGTTAGCTAACAAAGACATCTTACCTGACTCTTTTGCCAATTAGAGATTCTAAGTATCTTCTAGCAGAAAGCTGACCCAAAAGTTTGCTGTAACCACTGGTGAAGAGTCCATCAGCATGCCTGGATGTCCTGGCACAAAGGAAATTATTGTGTTCATAAACTTAATACAAGAATAAGAAAGCTTTCATTTGTAACCTTAGCTTATCTAAAGTCATTTTTCCAGAATCACATATGCATATACATTTTTTAGTAAATATGCTGCTTGTCTACAGCTACACAATCTCCTTTGCCTATTACAGTAAATATACATTGGTTTGCTATACATTTTTTTCTTTAATAAGGGCAGGAGTAAAATAACAACATTTGTAAAAGAAAATCTTTTAAAGGTCAATATAAATATGCATAAATATTTTACATTTATACATGTAGTCTGCAGGCAGAATTTGTATTTGTTGTAAAACTCTTGCAAACTCTACCTGCTGACTGCACGGTCTTATCAGCTTTATTAAAAATACATTTTTACAGAGTTCAATAACTCAAGCTGAAACATACACAGGTGAATGAGTCAGAACAGTGACTCATCCTTCTCACTCTCTTAAATAGCAGTCTAAACTGAGATAACTACTGATGTACTCTCCCTTTAGAATGCCCATAGTGTTCTAGAATATGTATTTAATTTTTTAGAATGTGAAAATAGGGCACCTTTAGGATCTTTGATCTGCTAAAACCACCCCTCTTGACTCAAGCATACCCATATGAGCTTTTTGCTTACTCCTCCCGACAGCCACATTCCAGTGCTGACCTCCATATCATTTTCTGGTTCTTAACACCACTTACTTAGGGGGTACAACATCATGCCAGCCCCTACTGACAGTACTGCTGCACTAAATGGTGCTCATGTGTCATCGCATGGGTCCCATTCAGTTTATCAGTAACGACCACTGATACTGGGCAAAAAGAAGAATGGCCATGACATCACCTAACCAGCCAGAACACAGCTAGAATTAAGGTATGTATTTATGGAATTTAAAAAAATTCTGTCGGGTGTGGTTCAGGTAGAGGGGTAGGAAGTATAGGAATGGAGGGCTGTAGATGCCCTTTAAAGCAGAACTCCATTTATATTTTTTTCGTATTTCTGGGCTCATCACAAAATTGGTAAGCTCCACTCTTACACTCTGCATACTCAAGCGATGTTCACAGCTTCCTCCTTGGTCCAGCACCATCAGTCCTCTTTGAGTAGTCAGAATCCTTGTACACATTTCCTGCGAGCCCAGCCTGTCCTTGACACCCCTACATCATCATGCAGCCCGATGCTTATATTACAGAGTTATTCAGTCTAGGAGAGATGGCTGCTACTTGCCAGTACTGAGAAAGAATATGAAGGACTGGCTAGAAGACTGCAGGGAAAAGGTAGATTTAGGAGGGTTTTGTTCACTAACAGGCAACAGTCTAGAAAACTTTGGTTGGATTCTCTGTGAGAGATTGAAATGGTTGCTTACATGAGAATTTTTGAGACATTTTTGCTTTTGTGAAAGAGTATTGTCAGTGAAAAAAATACTTTTGAAGTTCTCGTTTTTGTCTAGGGAGGAAAATAACAAAGTTATACTCGTCTGATCTTCAGAGCCAGCCGGCTGTGACAGCACTCCCTCCAGCCTGTCCCTTCCTCTGCTGCAGAAATGGTGTGTCCCTCAGCATCCTCACATCCTATACACTGTGTATTGAACATAATGACTCACAGGACCTTAGACCGCTGCAGCAGAGGTGAAAATAAGGCTAGAAGGACCGGTTAACAGCAAGCCATCTCTGAGGTTTTGGTGAGTATAACTTTTTATGTTAGTCCCTAGACACAAACGAGAGATAAGGCTTAAAAAAAAATCTCCCCAGAGTTCCTCTTTAAAGTAAAACATTTTTCAATATTTTTTAAATTGTGAAATTCCATTTTATATAGAAGGATATGGATATGGGTTTGGTACTACAGTTTCAAAAGACTAGGTTAATTTAAGTGCATGTTAAGGCAAAAGTAACAAAAATATATTCAGTACATCTCTTCAATAGATGCACAATTCTTTAATGCCTCCTTGAAAATGCTGCAAATACAGACAGATATGTTTTGATCTTCCAGAAATCTAGTGAGGCCCTAACTTCCTGCTTAAGCTGATAACCCTGCCTCTGCTGCACTGAATGCAAGCAGTGTCAGAAGCCCCGCCCATTTTTCTTTTGTAGACTACAGAACACCACCTCTCTTTGTAATGGAGGTGAAGAGAATGAGAGGTTCTGTAGTCTACATCAGGAAGGAGCAACCTAGAGTGACAACACTGCATAGATGCAGTATATTAAGGGAGCATTGTCACCCTAGGACAGGAAGTGTGTTACTGGAAGGATTACCAGGTGAAGATTTTTCATCACAACGGGGATTTAGACATGGCTGCCCCTTTATGATTAAGTACTTAATGAAATGCGCCAGAGGAAGAGGAGGGTGTTTTCCTCTATGATTAATAACTGGAAAAAGGACACAGTGGTGTGCAGCTACATTGCCTACTGAATTTGAATCTGATGCTTTGCCATGCATTCACAGGTTTGCTTTAAGCAGCTGCTAACAAAACAAAAGACAGTAACATGGGATTGTTGTTATTTGTGCTTGTAGTGATTAGTAAATTGATCCATGCTCAATGCCTATTTCCTGCTTCCATGCTTTTTTGTTTAGATGCCCCCTTCCCCTCTTGAAATAAAAACATAGTTTTCCATGCAATATTCACTTCCTCCATGTTCCAGCACAGTCTTCCTCTGTGGTTGAGTGCCAAACTCTTTCTGGTTGAATGATGCTCAGTCCAATGATACTGAGGATCCTCCAGCTGCACTGCTCCTTACTCCTACACTGAACAGCACTCATGTAATGATTTGTGAGCGCTATTCTGTGCAGTAATATGTAGAGGCCCCAAGGGGCAGGTCAATGACAGCCTGGGATCAGAGTAAGTGGGTTGAAGGATGCTGGCCATCATTAACCCTAGAAGACCGATGGCATCTACTGACTAAAAGGTATTGCTGCAGGGAGACAACTTTGGGTTGAAGATTTGCATTAAAGCAAAAGCTACTTTGCTGGGCGGCTTATTTTTTTCATTTGTAATAAAAATAAATTGTAGTTCCAGTTTAAAGCCCAGTAACAGCCACTTTTTGTAGTTTTCTACAGAGGGGGTGGGGGTTATAATATCTGTTATGCAGTTGTTGTATAGGCCTCTGTGGCTTATTTTCCCGGTGACACCAACACCCTCTCATTTCTTGTAATGGTATCACTGGGACAGGAAGTAAGGTTAGATCCCCCAATGAGGTAAAGGACTGCAATAAAAAGCTTGAAGAAATTAGTGAGCTATCATTCTGTGTGGTTTCTGAGACAAATGAAGTATCAAAAATTAATGTGATGCAATATTCAATCTGTTCCTTACCTGCCAACACCCTGTGTCATGTCCAGAAAGAATTTTTCATTGTCTGGTAGTGTACTCTGCAACATATCCATGTCTTGCTTTAAGGACACCTGTGTCTGGTCTGCTTCATTTGCTCCTTCATATGGCAATCTGTTCCCTAGCCTAAAGAAAAAAAAGAAAAAAACTGTTTTGTTTGTACATTTCCCCTCTTTCAGTAGATTTCATCTAACAACATACTAAATTAAATAAGCAAATTAAAAGACGCATGACTGTAGAAGGTTCCTGCTATAAGCCATAGCCTAAAGCACCCTACAGTCTGAGACTATGGGCAGTGCCAGCTTTATGGCTGGATTAGTGCTTCTTGCCCTCTACATATTCATAATGGGCACACGTACAATGTCTACATGTTGATGAGAAATACATCACTTGTATATCTTCCCACTGTAAGATAATTTCTAAATCCCTTAATAAAAACAGACCAATACATACTTAAGCACATTCTACCTGCTTATGCACATACACAGCATGTAACTAATCACATTACATTGTATTACAGCAGTGCAAATGCTTCTATAGTCCCCATTTCACCAACTTCTCCACCTCCTTATGCCTCCAAATAGGAGACAGACTTGGGTACAGTGACCGATAGTGACTAGGACCAAACTTGGACCCCCACTTGGAAGAGCTCCATTACTGTTTTAGCCCTATAATCTAACCATAAACTTCTCATGAGACAGTACCTAGCCCTGACCAAGATTGCTGAAGTCCTACCAAAGTATCCTTCAAACTGTTTCAGGAGCTTTCAAGCGGAGGGCTCTTTTGCTCACATTTAGTGGGAATACCCATTTGGGAAGTGCTATTAGTCCATGATATATTGAAGGAACCACATAGTCATGGGCTTCCCCCTTTTGAAGGATCCATTCTAAACCCTTCTAAACAAAAACTCACAAGGTTATACCCAAGCCAATTTAAATTGCTTCTACAGATTTTTAGGGAAGAACCCTCTGCCAATTTTTCCCTTTCATGTCCTACACTGTAGTTTTCGAAGCTTACTAAGCAACAGAATGAATCCATGGACAAATTTGACAACATCTAAACCCCATGGATAGACCACTCTCTTCCGCCAACATTTCATAGGGACTCCTTGACTTTGAACAGGCCTCTTTTAGAGGCCCCCTTTTACATGAGGATATCACTGCACCCTGTCCTCGGCCTACTCTTTACCCCAACCAACCCTCCCACTCCTAGACCCTTTACCTACACAATAGCCATCCTCCCTACCTACCCCCCTAAGTTTGTGTATAGTTGGAACCTGGTTAACACCATTCCTTCCATTTCTCAATTTAAGCTGCTTCACCTTTCCATCTAAGACTTCAAATTTGTATCCTCACTGCAACTTTATCCCACCCTATGTTATGATTGTGTGGAATTGTACGCCTTACTTACTTAATTCTAAACCCTATTGTATTGTAAGGACTGTGGACAATGCAGGCTCCCTATCCCAATAGTTCTTATGCTTATGTTTGTAACAATGCTAAAAAAAAACTGAAAACGAATTTAAAAAAAGATAAAATATATTAACAAAGCCTTCTGTCTAACACAGATCATACACAACAATGTTTCTATAATGTTGTGCAATTGTACAGTAAAAGTTTAGTCTTTAATTTTGGAGAGTTTTTTTCCATTCATTGTGATGCACATAAGAAAAAAACCCATTTATATAAACTGTTGGAATAACATTAAGATAGCTTCTAGTTTAGCTTGCAAGGACAAAACTCAGCATGACAGCATCATTGTCATAAGTTTGCAATCATTACATATCTAAAACACATTCCAATAGCTTATGTGAGAGTTTGACACTGTACATGCTGTAAACAGAAATGTCATCCACAGCATCTGACTTATTTGTTTGAGTCCTGCAGATTAATATGAAGATTTATTATATTTAACATTTCTTTACATTAGTTTTTTTCGTAAGTCAGGTTAGGGGAGACCTAATTTAGCCTACCTTTTGCATCTCTGGAAGAAGAGATCACTAATAATAATGATTGCTTGCTTGCTGTTATCAGTAATAGATCACTACTGCAGTGGTGCAGAAGGAGGCAGGACAGAGCCATATCAACCCTACTCTGTCTAAAATGCTAGGTAAAATTACAAAAATAACAGTAGAGGGAGGCACAAGAAGGGCCAATAACATCAGAGATTCATGGCACTTCCCCCTTATGGTCCTTCCTCTTTTTTTTTTTTAGGGGAGGGGGGTTTATGTGATAGATGGAAATGGTGGGATGTGGTAAGAGGGGTGGGAAGTTAATTGAAGTGTTTGTATGTTTTTTAATGTGTGGAAGTAGGTTTTATGTGTGGGTCAAATGGGAAATGAATGATAGATTCCTAAATGCATGGTTTCTTATGCTTTATTGCCAAATTAATAAAAAGATTGTAAACAATAAAGACAATACAGAAGCACTGTGTTGCACTGTACTGCTACAGAGGGTTCTATAGTAGGAACACAAGTATAGGAGCTTATCAACTCAGTTCTTGTGCAGTTTCAGCAGTAAACCCCTCTGGTATACACCAGACCAACTGAGACCCAACACCATTTCATTGATGAGACATAAGAGGAGGAGATCTGGAGCAAAGCAGGTTATACATTATACACGTCCTTTTTATGTTCTTTTAGCTCAACATGCAAGACTGTATCAGTATGTTACCTGTTATGCTACCTGTGATAAGGGATCCACAATGTCAATAAAGTATTAGTTACAACTACACTGCTTCAGATGACCTTTTGATATTTTATTATTTTATTCTGCTATTATCAGCAGGTACAGGGATTTTTTAAATTGTTTTTATAGACTATTTTTATAGATGGAAACCCTATGATGCTTTAAAAAAAAGTATTATTTTTTTATATGTACCTTAATTTCTATATGATCTTTTTTAAACATATTTTTGTTATCATCATCATCATTATTATTATTTTTATCATCATTTACATATACAATTTTTACATTCTCTTTAGTCCTTATTGCCCTGAAATTCAGTGTAATAAATATGCTTGGATTTCTACATTGGTGTCGTGCTCTTATTCTCCTTGCACCATGCATTGACAGGCTATGTATTGGGCTGCACTGCTTTAAACAGTTTGTAGCATGAAAGAGTCACTTCAAGCAAAAAGAAAACTTATTTTGAAGTAGTTATATTGGCCATTGATATTTTTTTTTCACTGTAGCCAGTCTTGGTTCCTGTTTTCACTGTAGCCAGTCTTGGTTTTTCACTGTAGCCAGTGTAATGCAGTAATGCATTACACTGAAGACTGAAACTCTCACTTTCTAATCAAACAGTTAGTTTGTAGGCGTATCAGTTCTGGACCTGTGTATGCTATCTAAACTGCAGCCCCATTAACTCTAGTATATGCAATATGACACTATCAGAGCTGTGAATTAAAGAAATAGCAAGTGTAGTGTTTCCTTTCTCTTCTCCTTTTCCTTTATATAAACAATGAGTTCCTTTTGTGAGTCTGATACCAGTATGACTCTATGTGAATGAAACTTTTAACAAAATAAACTGATTTTCAAACTAATCACTATTAATTTCAGAACTCCTTTCACTGAAGACTTACAGCCTGTCAATATTTTTGTAATATATTATATCTATTGTTATCCTGTGATAAATTCCCTCAGCATTTATGTTGACATTCTGCATGACTCTCTGCAGCTTGCTGATCAGAGCTTTTGATATGCAATAACAACCAACCATAATGGTAAAATGTATTACATTTGTTTTAGAATGCATTGAAATTGATTTAACATGTGCACAGTTCATATCCACCAACACACAAATAAGAAAGTTTATTGTTCTAATAATTTTGCATTAATAGTATTGTTTTTGTTGTTATAATGGAAACAGTACAGCAAGATCCCCTTTTTAAATCACAGATGGGCATGGCAGAACAAAGCCCCTATGCTACTCTTTCTGCCTCAGATTATTACACTATTCCATGCAACTTAGGTCTGGGAGAGGTAAGCTCTTCTTTGGGGAAAAATAAAGGCAGGCCTTTATTGCTGAAGAGAAATAGCTGCTCTCTTGCCTGCCAGTGATAATTCTTTAGAATGTACACTGAGCTGTGTATGCACAGCTCACAGTGCATTCTTGGCATGCTTTAGGCGCCAGGATGAATTAACTTCTGTGTGCATGTCCAGGAGTTAGACAATCCTGGGTTAGCCAATCAAGGCTTTCCAAAGAAGCTGAATCTGGAAGAATACCAAGCAGGTAAGTCTGCCATAATGTGCAAATACGCTGTGCATAAACATACCACAGCGCGTGCATGCACATTGGGAGAAAACAAGGGTCAGGACCTATAAGTAATGGTTGGGTACAGGTAATACAATGTGTGTCAATGCATCAAGCAATGCACATGCATAGATTTAAATGGGCCTTAAAGAAATGTTACACTTGAACGCTGGTTGTATACTACATGGCTTGCCATGATCACCACAAGAGGAAAGTAACATATCAGCTCAATACCTGCTTTGCCCATGGCAATTTATAAGTGGCCCAGCTCCAAATTGGCTCCTCCTCTTGAAGGGTTTTGCCACAGCATCACTTTTTGTGGCTGGGTCACCTGCTGTAATACATTGCCAGAGGCAAGAACTTCCTGATGTGTTGATGAAACTGCAATTAATTTTAGCTTCTGTTCTGTGTTTTTTAATAGATCAAATGTTTATTTTAGCATCATTTCTGCTGTGGTAAGAAGAATTACTCTGATCCTCCTTTGAAATACGTATTTTTTTAAACGGGGGGGGGGGGGGGGGGGTGTGGGGG